AAAGAAAAAGTTGAAAAATGAAAAAATTATGAGCCGGACGATGAGAGAAAAAATAAAAAATAAAATCTAACTAGGTCTCCTGAGCTCACTGTTGGGAAATGTACAGCGAGGAAGGGTCTTCTAGTTAGTTTAATCAAATAAAAAAAAATGGCGGACGAACAATAATCTCTTGATGGATGTAAAAAGTTGGGAGGAAAGGTTCACGGGATAGAGTTAGAGGTTGTAAGGGAAGCGTCAAAAATAACATTTTGAAAATCTATTAAGAAAAATAAAATGATAAATGTTTTATCTGTTTAAGAAATATTATAAATATTGTTAAGTGTAGGTTTTTTAAAATGGTGCCTAAAATAGTTGAAGTTGTAAAATTCTAAGTCTAAACATGATAAGAAAAAAGAAAAAGAAAAAATATATATTAAAGGTAATAATATATAAAGGGTTGATTGGTAGTTGAAGGCATTAATGTTGATTAATAAACAAAATGATATTATCGATTAATAGTGAAATTTTTATCTACATCTGTAAGTTAAAAAACAAAGTTCAACACCACAAAACTAGGTAAACTGTTAGTCTATTTACAAATAAATGAGAGAAAAGCTAGCAAACCTATTAAATGGGAAATAATTTGGGGCACAAATTAGTTACTAGAATAAAAATAAAGATGAAGGGGAGTAATGGTGACACACTGATATAATATTATAAAACTACAAAAAATATATAAGAGAAGTACATAGGAAGGATAAATTTAAAGTAAACACACACAATAGCGAAAATAAATATTTGGGAAAGTTGGTATACTAGTTACAGTTTTTTGTTACTTAAGGTGCCTTAAGTATTTCCACATAGTTTCAGGGATGTAATACAGGAAGGAGGAGAAGTAGAGGTAATAAAAGTGAAATTAAAATATAAAAGAAAATTGACTTAAGCAAAAGGTTTGCGATAGGTAGTGACGCAGTGAGGAATAAAGGAAGAAGGTCTGAATTGGTTTCTGCAAAGGACATCTCAGGAGTCCTGCCCTGCAATACGAGCTTAGAAGCGAAGTATTGTTTTCAGGTTCAGCAATCTCAAGATGCTCTGTAAGTAGCATTAGATCAGATGGGCAAAAGGTGTGAAGATCGAAGGAGAGGTAGGTAATGGGAGAATATGGGAAAGAAAACTTTTCTGAGAGAGGTTAAAAAGAGATGGGGCTCAAGAGCTGCGCTGCTGTCGGTGATTGAGCTCGACCAGATGAAAAATAAAATTAAACGAAAAATGAGCGGGCGCATCGTGCTGATGATGGCCTGAGTCGAGCGTAAGAGAAAAAAAATATATCGCTGGTTACCCAAGCTCTCCGTGTGGAGTTAACATGGGGAGGAAGAGTGTACCAGGTTGATGAATCATTAAAAAATAAAATTAAAAAATGTTGACGAGCAGGAGTCTCAGGAACCGTTAAAGAGGTTAGAGGATGGAAGGAAAATAAATATCTTAATGTAAAAGAAATATCCTAAAATATATGGATTGATTCTAAAATATAAAATGGCACACATCAAGGATCGTAAAATATAAATGAATAAGATTTTAAAATATAGTAAGTATTTAGGTTAGTGTGTTCCCCACGTGATGCAATACTTATAAACGCAAATTAGACGATGTTTGGAATAGTGTCGTGGCGATGGACGCCATTTTGGGGATTTAATTGTCCTTTCAGGAGGCCAAGATGGCGTCTCACATGGTGTCATGTACAGGATCGATTTTAGAGATGGTGGGGACCTAATTTTTAAACGGGTTGACAAAACAATAAACTATTCTATAACATTATAAAAATAAGATTTGCCATAAAAGGGTTTTATATAATTTTCCTATCCGTTTTAATCTGGCAGGTTGTTTGGTGGACACGAAGTCTAGAATACCGGTGTGCCACTATCTTATGTAATCTCTTTGTCCTGCGAGTTGGAGCACGTGTGTACTGAAACTAGAGATGTCAATATGGCCGCCATTGTGGGGGCTATGGATGACGTACCGCGCGCCGGCAATAAAAACAAACAGGAGATGACACCGCTGTGGCGGGCGTTATGTTTTGTTAGGACGGTAATATCATAGCTATTTATGTAACATGGATTGTTTGCCAGTCCTTCAGGGCCTAGATTCCACTAATTCTATGAGAATAGATGGGAGGACAAGTGATTAAAAGGTTCGGAAAATCGATGAGCTATACAAGTTGGGACCTAAATGTCGGAAAGGATCTATTATTCTATTTATTTTTAGGGGTTCTATATATATATAATTTGGGTGGTGAAATATAGAGGACCTCTTCATTATAATATTGTAATTTATTTACATGCACAGTATCGCTATCATTACCTGTAATCCTATTGGGTCTATTTATACGTACGACATTATCAGAAATTATTTCAGTAATTTTATATGGACCTGTAAAGTAGGGTACTAACTTACCGCTATTTGGATGATGATACGCCTTTACTAATACTAAATCCCCTGTATCAAAGTGTGGATTCTTATGTTTGTTGTCATATTTAATTTTCTCTTTGTCGTGTCTGTCATTTGTACGTTGTATTGCTAGTTTTCTACTTTCTATTATATTGGGATAGGGGTTTTTGTGATTATTTAAGTCTGAGGGGATTATATTATACATTAAAAAGATAGGGATGTTATAGTATGGGGCGTGTCTTTATATTTATTAGTAACTATCTTAATTAACTTCGTCCACGAGGTTCTGGATTCTCTAGGTGAAAAAACCTTAGTTTCCCAGTAAGTTTTGCGTTAAGATTTTTTCAGACAAATCGTTAGATTGGAGATTATTAGCGGTGATTAGGTTTAGAAAAATTATAAAATAATGAATTTACGAAATTTTCGATTACGATATTAGTTTTCGCATACTACATTTATAGTTGTATTTGTAATTGTGGAAAAATGGGAGGCAATTTTTAGATGAGGTAATTTAAAATTGATATTAATAAAAATACAAATCTAGGTCTAGTTTTTAAAACTTTTAAATATTGAGAAATATCAATTTGAATAGTAATAGGTCAAGTGAAATAAAGAGTGTAATAAATTTAATTATTAATACTATGGCCACAAATAAGGTATTAAAAAAGACACACAAATAAGTTTAGAAAATATGATTCGAGTAATTAAAATATAATATGATTTTTTATGTAAAATTGAAAGTTGCATATTTGGATAATGCCATTTTAGGTGACTTTAAGAAAGGCATGTAAGATTAATAAATTGGCAAAAATGCGTGATTGAATATTTTTAATAATAAAATTGAAAATGATGAATTAAAATTTATAATTTGATTAAAATAAGGTAAAAATGATAAATGAGAGTGTGAAAGTTTTAAAAATTGAATAAAAATGATATAAAAAGGTTATAATTGATTTTAAACTGCTTAAGGTGAAAATATAAGAATAAAATTTATGGGGAAAATGGCAGAAACAAAGTTTAAAGTACCTTGAAATGGCTGATGCTGGCTGGAGTTGATCTCTGGAGATGGCTGTATGGAAGAAGGCTGCTTGTTGCGTGGGATCCGTCGAAAGAGGAGATGAGGGATTCCTCCGCACGAGGTACGGCTAGTCCCCGAATGGCGTCTGTTAGGCGGCCTACTAGGTCTTCGTAGTGGGGCTGCATGTTGGTGAGGGCATCCGTGAAGTACTCGACTCCGGCCTCCGTCATCCTCTGCATGCTGCTGTCCTCAGTTATCCTGTCGACTTTAACGGGTTCTGTAGTAATCCCGATGTGGAATGTGCTGGGCAGTCGTGGTAGTGGGTGCGTGATGGGATTCCCGCACTGGGACAGCAAGAGACAGAGGCAGGTCTAGATGGTAACTCCAAGAAGGTAGAGGTAGACCACGGACGAAGGCAAGTCGAACCACGGGCGCCACGGATGCCTACATCGCGGATAGGAGTGAGTGAAAGATCCGACCGTATAACGGCTTCGCTCTGAAAACAACTCCTAAACAACTGCCTTTGTCCCATTTCTGGGCTCTTTATATACTGGACGCCCGCATATGTGGTGATTCCTGATTGGCTACTGTAATCACGCCACTTTATGGCGCCAGGTTGTTTTCGTCTGGCCTTTGTCGTTTGGTCTACCTCCCTCTTTGTTTTATTTGTCACTCCCATTGTTCGATACATATTTTTATATATAGATATGGGGTTATATAATAAATATCAGAAGAAGGTTGTGAACTATCTAACTCAAAATATACTACATATACATATATTTTTACATAATGAGGCTTTAAATAATATAAATAATATTCATCTATTTACATAAAAAAAACAGTTAATATATAGCGAGAAGAGTAGAGGACTGAGCACAGATCCCTGAGGTACACCAGCCCATGTTCTTCGGTCCTTGGAAAATGTTCCATTGACCCGAACATTTATCCTTCTTCCCCTTAAGAAGTCTGCAATCCAGATTAAGGTTTTTCCTCCTACTCCGATATTGTGCAGCCTTTCAAATAATTTCTACACTCGATCAGAAGCTGAGGTCATTCCAGGAATACAGCCGTTGTCTTCTTTCGCGGTTTTTCCTAGATATCTATTATTGATTGAGAGAAGTAGAACCGTTTATCAGTTGTCCTTATAATCATACGCCGCAGTCCTTTATAATGTATTATAAGTTACTTTAAGTATTATTTACGAACGGAAAAATACGTCCAGGGTAGCCTAGTGGACATGGCATCTGCCCGGTAAGCGGAACGTTGTGGGTTCGATTCCGCCACTGGACACTTTTATTTTTCCGTTCGCCATTACTCTTCATATTTTCACCCTTTCATACTTCATACTTCGCCATTACTCTTCATATTTTTCACCCTTCCATACTTCATCTAAAAAAGTTAGAAATAGTAAATATTTCTCTTTGAAATAAATATTGAATTTTCACAGAAAATAAACTTATGCGGTGAAACTTTAAGTGTTGTTTTATAATCATACGCCGCAGTCCTTTATAATGTATTATAAGTTACTTTAAGTATTATTTACGAACGGAAAAATACGTCCAGGGTAGCCTAGTGGACATGGCATCTGCCCAGTAAGCGGAACGTTGTGGGTTCGATTCCCGCCCCTGGACACTTTTATTTTTCCGTTCGCCATTACTCTTCATATTTTCACCCTTTCATACTTCATACTTCGCCATTACTCTTCATATTTTTCAGCCTTCCATACTTCATCTAAAAAAGTTAGAAATAGTAAATATTTCTCTTTGAAATAAATATTGATTTTTCACAGAAAAGAAACTTATGCGGTGAAACTTTAAGTGTTGTTTTATAATCATACGCCGCAGTCCTTTATAATGTATTATAAGTTACTTTAAGTATTATTTACGAACGGAAAAATACGTCCAGGGTAGCCTAGTGGACATGGCATCTGCCCGGTAAGCGGAACGTTGTGGGTTCGATTCCCGCCCCTGGACACTTTTATTTTTCCGTTCGCCATTACTCTTCATATTTTCACCCTTTCATACTTCATACTTCGCCATTACTTTTCATATTTTTCACCCTTCCATACATCATCTAAAAAAGTTAGAAATAGTAAATATTTCTCTTTGAAATAAATATTGATTTTTCACAGAAAAAAACTTATGCGGTGAAACTTTAAGTGTTGTTTTAGTAATTTTTTTGTTTGTCAATTGCCCACATCTTATATTATGTCGTGCAGGCCAAAGTGTTATAACTTCTCGAATAACACTGGTATACACAATTTTACCCCTTATGTTAAGTTTATCGATTTTCGCTCATTAGAATTTAATACCACGTTTTCCAACGCAAAAGGTCGATTTAAAAATGATTATTTTTTGAGGGGATACATTTTCAAAATTATGTACAGTATAAAAACAATTATAACATTTGACAAACTCATAGGATATTTGGAATAAAGTACGACAAATATATTTTGTCACTCCCCTCTATATTTCATTTTTGGATCATGACAAATATCCAGTTAAATAGTCAAGTGTCGCCAATTAGTCAAGAAACTATACATTCCTTATAGCACGAAATCCTATTAGTAGTGCCATCATAATTTTTGGTACTATATTAACATTTCAAAAATCGTGTATTAATATCAGTAGTTAATTTCAAACATTCAATCTATTTCACAAAACTCCATCTAAAATATAAATATTTTTTTGCTACGTGTTTTAATTTGCATATACCTATTTTACATATCTCAGATTGTATTTAAAAATCGTCAACCAATTCTTCTAACTTTTGGCGAAATGGTGTTTTATTAATTTGTCATTTGATATTATTAGGGTTCTTTCCTGATATTCAAAAAGGAAAAATACGTGTCGTTCAGTTATATTTTTCAATTTATCAAACGATTTGGCCGCTGAATCGCTGATTCTGGTTAGAGCGCCATCTAGCGAATAAAGTTGTAACTAAAATCAATTTCGAATTTTTCATTATTTGCCATAAAAATTCCCATTGCATCCTGAACACAATGGTGTTTACCGCATTGCTCTAGCGCAAATATTCGCGGAGTTATCAATTTTTAAAATTGTGCGGGAATTTTGGATCACCCTGTATATTCCATGAGTCATGTAGAAACTCATATCTACAGTTTCCCCAAACACCCCTTCTTCTGCATTACTTTATAAATAACATTATATTAGAAATATATAAATAAAGCTGTGTCTGGAAATTCAACTGGAGATCCCGCTGGGAGAGTTTACCACTGATAAAAACCATACCGTTCAATTTCAAATATTTTATCATTACAGTTTAAAAAGCAATTTGAAATCGATTTTTTTATTTCAAAAAGTAGTGTTTCTCTCAATAATCGCATTTAAACTCTGTTTAAATGTTCAATTTTTTGTGGCGATAAATTAATGACCAAAAGAAAGAGCCAATAATTCACTGTAAATATCAAATGTTTTATAGCCTTGTTTTCACGAAAAAAAGTCTGATTTCTAGAAATTATAATAAACCATAATAATATATATAACAGGAAGAAATAATAGTTTCAAAAAGTATTATAATAGATATGAAATAAATCAGTTTTGTTTAAAAATATATTCAGTGAAAGTGAGATTATACTATGTAATAACAGTTATAAAACAGCGATGCAACCTTTAATATCTAGAGAATACATGAAATCAATAAAGAGAGAATTGATTCACATGTCCGAATATGCCAAGTTTTAATTATCCACGAATATATTAGTAGAGAATATTAGTTTGTGAATATTATAAAGTGAACGCCTCTAGCTTTCTAATCACAGCCTACCACAAAAAACTCATTAGAATACTTTTCTAAGTTTCTTTTGTTTTGATTTCTGGAAACAACAACTGAATTTATAAAATTTATATTAATATTTTCAATAAAATTCAATATACATTTTTAGTAAAATCAGTTCCATTGTATTATTTAGAGCAAACCTTACTGCAGAGCTCTTTGCTAGAATGGTGTACTTGAGAGGTAAGCCCAATATTTTATTTATTAGAATTTTTCAAAATTGATCTTTAAATAATTTTAAACTTTTACAGACACACTTTAATATATTTTATTTCTTATTAGTATTTCTAAATAAAATAGAGGCATTCACTTACTTTCTCTAGTTAAATACATTTTCTTCGAAAATATTTATATATTTCATAAATCATTTTATTTTATACATTATATATATTATTTTCAATTAAATATTTGATATGTATATTTTAAACTATAATAATGAAACCTTTAGCATATTTCACATATCTTCCAATTAGTTAGAGCCGATACTTTATAAGGACATAATCTTCTATTAAAATGTACACTGTTCCTATTTTGTATATATGCTATATCTTTATTATGTATAACCTGTACACACTTATTTGTATTTAAACTCAATATGATGACGTCAAAATAAAAAATGATGATAAGTAACAATAAAAAAAAACCTAACTATACCCTTCTATTAAAATGTACACTTTTCCTATTTGCTACAGCCCCATTTCTTGTATATATGTTATATCTTTATTAATATAACCTGTACACCCTTATTTGTATTTAAACTCAAAATAATGATGTCAAAACAAAAACAGCCAAAGAGTGTTCAGTTGGAGGCAGCTGGGGGCAGAGAGGGAGGAAATAACCAACGCCCAGATGTGGCCCCCTCCAGGGACTTTTATACGCGACCGCTGTCAACAGGACGGTTTTTAGCAGTGGGGCAGGGCGGAAATGTGCTACTGTGCGTCCTCCGACGCAGATACCGCTTCTGTCTCTCTCGGTCTCTCTCTCTCTCCATGTCTCGGCGTTAGGAATCAAAGTTTGTGTCATGGCCTCTACCTCTGTTCCGTGAGGTGTCCCTGATCACTCTCGGTGCTAACATCTCGCCCTGCCTCTGCTTCTTGTTGTCTGCGTGTTGGAAGAACATCAACACTCGCCTCACTTACACGACTGCCAGTTTATCCATTCGTAGACAGGTTTATTGGCAACAATATTACATATTAATTTGAGATAGAGGCTGCCTGGCCGGCATTCATATTTCCAAATTATAGGGATTTTTCCCTTCTAAATATTTAGACCATATAATTAAAAAACAGCCATACAAACAGGAAAAGGCAGCCACTTAAAGAAGGTCACTTTGTTTGAATTCCCTAAATTGACCTATTTCTTTACGGTAATGCTGAATATCAAAATAAGTTATTTGATAATAGGTTCTTCTTATCATTAGCACACATGTTTATTTATAAACCTATGTATTATTTAAAAATTAAGCCAAATCCGCGAACCCTGAATGAGCCATATACCTAACAAGGATTCCGTTCTAAAAATAGAACTGTAGTGGTAGTTTTAAGTATTTATAAGTCGATTTGTTTGTGGCTCATGAGACACGGGAAACTTGGGGAGTAACTGTTTTTTTTTCCTTCTTCCAATTCCAGTTTCCACATATTCTTCTGAAGTGTATATTAAATTTTGTTTTTTAACCTGTTATTCAAACAATTTCTGGCTTTAAAATTACTTGGAATTATTATTTAGCCTAGGTTAAACTTGATATAGAACGCTTCTAAAAGGGCATGCTGCCACTGTTTTTTTTTAGAACCCCATTCTTTGATTCTTTTCTTTATTTTTGAAGCCATTTGTATTTTAATTTTATTTAAAAATTGTCGAATGCAAATATATTCTATTAAATAAAAGTATAATGTGTAAATTTTATACATCATACAGCAAAAATAGAATGGAAATGAAAACAAACAATGCCGCTAATATTATGTTTTGAAATCACAATCCGTGAGCTGAAACATGCTCAAAATTTTGTTGTTTTAAAAAAATTTAAATCACAATTTTAAGTTTGTTATAAGCCTCGTATTTTTAATAGATTTTATCATTTTGAGACCGAAAATAGAATCGTTTTAGGAGTAGTTCGTTATTTTAAAAATCGCAAAGTTCGTTATAAGGATGGTATTTTCAATGGAATGGAATTGGGAATCGCCGTGGGCTCGTTATAAGGGAAGGTTCGCTATATCCAGGGTTCGTATTAGCGGGTTTTTTACTGTATATAGAGATACGGACTCATTTAAAATTTAGAAAATTCTGTAAATATATCTAAGATTTTCTCTCTTGGTTAAAAAAAACGTAATTGCTAAACTATGTATGTTTGTATTTATTTAATTGGTTGTTCCTAGGTAGGATTTGGAAATAAGCATGCTGTATAATCCTTGTGCTAATGTATAATTTTCTTTTACATCATAAACCTTAGATTAATAATACATTAGATCAGTAAAAACATGAGGGCAACCATCTCGTTCTTTTACCTACTTTATTTTTCGTATAACCATTGTAAACAACAAAAAAGGTGATAATGATAAATTCAATGAATATTTACAGAATCATAGAAAAATTATATTAAACCTTTAACTATAATCATATGTATTCTAACTAAATTAAACATTCTCCCGCCACCAACTTGATGGGGGACCATCAAAAAACATTATATTGGTAACAAACATAATTTTACAATAGGTCTTCTGTAAGTCCCATTAGCAGTCTTGACTTCTACCACTCTGATTCTAGCGTCATCTCCTGGAAATACCTTTGAAATTCTTCCAATCTTCCATGCTAGTGGAGGCTGTTGTTCATTCTTTATCAA